GCGACTTCAGCCCCCGCTCGCGGCTGGATTTTGACAACCAGAAGGTGTACGCTGTGTACCGGGGCACAGAGGAGCTGGGCGCCGGGCTCGAGAGCCCCCCGCGCGCCCCCCGCGACTGGGGCGCGCTGTTGCTCCACAAGGCCCAGATCCTGGCGCTGGCAGGTGAGAGAGTGGCCGGGAGGGACAGGGGACCCTCGAGGCTGGGACGTGGGCGGCCGGCCGGGCGCGGGGCGGAGGGGCTGGGCAGCCACCGCTTGCTCCTGCCTCCTTTTCTGGAGCCCTGGGCTTTTCTCTGGAGGACACAGGGTGACTCTAAGAGGCCAGACCAGTTAAAAAGACCAGAAGATCCCCTTTGTCTTCTCTTCCTTCACACTCTATGCTGTCAGTCTGCCTTCTTTCCTTGGTCTGTCTGTCCTTTTCTTTCTGACTCTTTGTATTCTCCCAGTCCCCTCACTTTCCCTTGCTGTTTCTGCCTGTTTGGACCATCTGAGCTCTCTCACATCTTTGCTTTAGCTTTCCCTCTCTTGCAGTTCCTTTCTTCTCTGCTCCTTTCTTTCTCTTTAAGTTTCTCAAGCTGTCTGTCTCTGTCCCTTTAAGGCCTTGGTGTTCTCCTTACATTGAGAAGCAAGGCGGATGTTGTTAGATCTAGGTGGGAGTCCCTCCTCACAAAAGGAATCTATGACACCCTTGTCCCTTCTGGACCATCACTGGACTGGACGAAGAGGCCCTGAACCTCAGCACACGGAGGCACCACTCCCCTGCCCTTCTCTGGCCAAGTGGCAGAGGTAAGGAGGTGCAGGCCTGAAGGCCACCTTCAGTCTCCACACCCCTTCCTGAATCTGGCCAAAGGATCTCTAAGAACTGTGTTTCTGGGTCAGGTTAAGGCTGCACCTCTCCTCTTGGCTCACCGAAGGCTTGAAAGATGGGCAGGGCAGGTGAGCTTAGCCTCACCTAGCAAATGAGGATACTAAGGTTCAGGTGGTGGTAGGACAAGATCAGCCTGCAGCCACCTATACTGTTGTAAGTACTAGCAGACACCACCTCTTTTATAAAGAGAAGGCAGCTGGTCCTGTGTCCCATCTAGTACCGGGAAGCTTTAGTGTAGACATGCAGAGATGAAGATGGTGTAGGGAATAGTCTAGTGCTGCTTCTGTGAAGAATGTGTCCTGCTGTGAGCAGAGACAGCCAGTTACCTTTGCTTTCCACCTGGAAGAGAACATCAGAGGTTAGAACCTGCATGAAAACATTGCCAATATGTTGTACTTCTGAGGCTTTTCCTGTTGCTTTTCTCTAGCCTAAAATATGAACCTGCCAAGTATCATGGTGACTTCCTTGGGGTCCCAGGGCAAGCTAGTTCACCCTTGTGACTCAGATTTATTCCTACTACCTTACATTGCCCCTGGAAAGCAGGATTGTACAAGTTGAGGAGAAGAACTAGTAATGCTGCAGCACCACTCCCTGGGCTACTTATCCCCTCATTCACTCACATGGGGTAGGGACAACTGAGTGAGGAAGTAGGTTTCCGGAAAGGGAATCCTTCATGGCTGATTAGGTTTTATTTTGCTTGCATGCTTTTAATTGCCTAAAAAAGGCATTAGTTGTTTATTCCCCAGAGGATAGACCTGAAGAAATTACAACTAGGTTGTAACCTTAGCTTCCGTTTTGCTAGAAGAGAAGAAAGTATACTTCCTTTTGTGTCACACTCCTAGCTCTCGATGGGCCCTAGGAGAATGGAAGGGATGTGTGTCAGAGGAAGTCAGTGGTGAGGGCCTTGGTGTGTGAGGTCTGTTTGCCTTCATTCAACAAATGTGTACGCACTGAGCTTGATTCCTTAGGCACTGAGGAAAGGCCAGTCAGGCAGATGACAGCCCCCACCAACTTTCATGTTAAAAATCAGTGCAGATCCTCATAAGTAAGGTACATATAGTTACTGCTCTAAAATCTGTGAATTTTGAATCTATAAGCTGGTCATCCTTCAAATTAAAATGTTCATAAATCTTTGAGCTTATTTTATGAATAAACAAACAAACAGGTAAAACTTGGCACCATCTAGACACTACAGAGCAGATGCAGAGAAGTATAGTGTTAGCTTGAACCTTGTGCCTCCTCCCACCTCTCTTCAGTTCTTTTGGGGAGGAGAAAAGAAAATGAAAGACACAAAATCAGGTTTGAGAGGCCACATTAAGAATTCCAGTCAACTGGTTAATTTTAAAATTTTAGCTGCTTCCCTGAGTGCAAACTTGGTTGGGAGGATCAAGATGGGCTTGAGAGTTCATTTCTCCTGGAAGAAATGCCCTGTGTGTCTTAAAATCCTATGTTGACTTTAACTGTGTGACTTTGAGAATTGCTTGCAGTGACTTCATCTTCAAGAGCTCACTTGCTATCTATCAGCAAGTGGAAACACAGTTGCACTGGTACACCAAGGGTGAGGATGTGACTCCTCAGGAAGAAAGCAGAGCTGGCTTTATGTCTGTGGATTGTCATTAATTACTTACTTAATCCCTCTTAGGCAGCAATAACCATGGTTTTAGGAGAAGCTTCAGTGTCTCTTGATGGCTTTCAGTGAGAAATGTGTTATTCTACTTAGCATCTGCCCAGGGAAATCCAGAGCTGTCTTGGAGTGTACCTCTTCTTATACCCAGGAAACGTCAAAGCCAACTGCTATGGGACTGTGAACTTTACTGCCCAACATGGTACACACCATGATTTCAGCATGTGTCAGTCTCTAGTGTGTGGCTCTTTTTTAAAAACCAAATTACAGTTCCAATGCAAGGAAAACCAATAAAGCCAGGTCTTTATTAACAGTCTTGCTGTGTGGCTGTGCATTTATAATCCTCTCAGTGATTCTTTGTTAGATACTTCTGTGACACTTATTCTTATCTTATAGATGAGGGTGCTGAGGCTCAGAGACTTGCCTGTCTCTGCACAGCTACTAAATGCAAAGCCAGATGAGGAGCACAGGTCCTCTAGCTCTAGGCCCACTTGGCAAACTCCTTAGTAAAGTAGCTGATGTTCCTATCAGCCACACTGCAGGGTTTTCAAAGGAGCAAAAGGAAAGGAGACGTTTCCATGAAGCTTAAAACCCAAGGCAAGGGGGCTGGGGAGATGGCTCAAGGGGCTGGGGAGATGGCTCAGTAGAATAGGTGCTTCTCTGGCAAGCGCAAGGGTCTGAGTTCAATCCCTGGTTCTGAAAAAAAAAAAAAAAAAAAAAAACACCAAAAACCCAAGGCAAGTTGTTTTTCAAGTTACAGGAATGTAAGACTCTTGAGTGTTCAAGTTCATTCTGCTCTTCCTCTTCTAATACCAGCCTCCCTTCTGCAGGAGACACAAACTTCCCCATCCAGCACTTGTGTTGTCATTTACTTGAAGTCCTCCCATGGCTCTTGCTGCCATGCCACGGAGTGCGCACATAACTCAAGGCTTGACTCACTGCAGAGCTGTGGTCCCTCCTTACTCACATTTATTTGCCACACAGGCTGTGAAAGTGAAAAGTCCCTACTTAGAGCTCTCACCATCATCAAAACCCAGCCTGTTTGTGGTATTAAGCTTTGTGTGTTTTATGGGCCCAAACTGGTTCTGCTAGGCTTAAAGTTCTAAATTCTGTATCATTCTGTTGAGATACCTGTTCTATATTATTATAACTTCAGTGCACCGAGTTCCCTTTGTGGCCAAAGAGAATTTTATCCCTTTACTGCTTCCTGTAGGCCAGGCCCAGTGCTGTAGTAAGTCAACCCACCAGTCTACCAAATCTAAGGCCCTGTGATTCAAAAAGCAGCATGACCAAGGGGAGACAAGGATCATTTTTCTGGTCCTTTTATTTCTGTAGGGGCAGAGTAATGAAGAAAAGTGGGCACTCTCTTCAGAGAGTGCAGTTTGGGGACTCTAGTAACAACGCTAAACAGGAAGAAGCCAGGAACTTGGGGAGCACTGAGAAGGGGACAGGTTTAGGTAGTTTTGTAGGTAAGTTACTCTTTTCCGGCTTCCCTAACACTACAGTCACTCGGACCTGCCTCGGCTCTTATTCATCTGAGCTAGTGCAGAAGCCTTCTAATTGATCACCCTGTGTCCAGTGTATTTTCCAAATTGTTTTCAGAATAATCTTCTGAAATAGTATTTGTCAATTGACTGCTCTCCTTAGGACCTTCTGTAGCTCCCTATTGTCTGCTGAATAAAGTTTTAGCTTCTTATCCTGGCAGTCATAACCTTTTGGACTGCCTCACCCACCCTTCCCCTTTGCCTAGACCTGTGGTGTTTCTCTCTATTTTGTGAGTGCAGCCTTATGCACTCCTTTGAGCCAGTTAGGATGAATTAATCATTATTTGATATGAGACTTCTGCCTAGATGGAGCTTACCTTCCCATAGGAAAGTCAGAGTCTGTGGTCCTGCACTCTGAGAGCTATGGGGAAGCTGTGGGCAAAGTACATTGGGAGCACCCAGAGGCCTTCTCGTTCCTCCCTCTGTCACTCCTCAGAACTCTTTTCACTTTGCTCATTTCTTGTGCATGTGGATTTCCTGTCAGTTGGTAGTGAGACTCCTCATTCTTCTGGATAGTGAATGCCTCCAGGAGAGGGCCCTGCCTGCCTTGTCTCTGTGTGGCAGAGCCCAGCATAGAGCCCACACTGCCCAGGCCATTTTAAACCCATGTGTATTTTTTATGTTTGGGGAGAAGAAATAGAGGGGACAAGAATCACTGTAGCTGCAGCCTGTTTATCTAAATAGAAACCTGTAGCTGGACGTTCAGGTTTCATCAAACTTTGTTCATCTGGAAAAAGTCAACATTCTTTATCACTCCCTCGACTACAAGAAACCCCACACTTAAGGGAAAATAGCTTCCAAAGCCACGTTCTTCTTGCTTTGGTAATTTTAGCTCATTCAGGGCTCAGGTCCCAGCTTGGCATTGTCAGTCCAAATAGATCACTTGCTCCAGAAATGCCTTGGAACCTACACAAAGTTAGCAGCAAAGCAGGGGACTTGCCGATTTCATATGCAGAGATTGTTGCATGTCATCAGTGGGACGCTGCCAACCAAAAGACCTTTTTTTATAAGCAAGTGAAAACTTTTAATTTAGGTTTTGACATGTTCTGCTGATATACATGGGAGCAAAGATTGGAACTTGCCTGCTGTCATCTGTTGCAGATTCTCCTGGAATGCTAACCACTGAAGGTTGAGTCTGATGTGTTTTTTAATGTTCAAGAACCACATATTTGTTACAACTAAGTAATCCACACTACAGAGTACTTCAGAGTTCTGCTTTCCAGGCTAGGAGAAAAAATTGGTCCAGGAAAATTGAGGCTTTGCTTTTAATGTGTTATTTTTTATTCAAGAGCATTCTAGGTTTTATTCTTAAAAAACAAACACCAAAAGTGGAATTCAAATTGAAGTCTGCGACTAAAAACCAATTCCCTTTCCAGTGTTCCTACCTGCACTGCCTTATAAGTTCCTTAGAGACAAAAGATGTGTATGATCTTTTATCAGAAAAACATAACTTGAACATTTTTTTTGGCTCGTTTCAATTCTGCAACTATTGAGTTATACTAGGTGGCTCACTGGATGCTGGAAAGGATGTATTATCCAGGATTTAGAATTACATTCTATTCATTATATGCCTACCAAATATATGCTAAGTACCTACCAGGTTCCAGCTGCACTGGGCAGTACTGTCTTCATCTTCTGAGATAGAGCTGCTTGTTTTACTCTGGAGAGAGCTACTCAAACAACTGTTTTGTGAGTACTATCAGTGCCAGGCAGTGGGTTAAGGCTTCCCACAGAGACTAAGGCTTGTGGA